CCTGGGAATATTCTCCTAACAATACTTAAGTCTTATTCATGCCGCTACATGGATTATTCTTTTTATGATGACTGTTTTTGATAAAAGTATAAATCTAGAAATCAATAAAAAGTTTTTATAAAAATTAAAGAAATTCAAGACCATTTAATTGGTAGATGTAGTTCAGCTCAAAGCAACTAATTAGTTTACTGCACATATTGCTGAAAACGTAAAAACTGCGTTTTGAGGAGTAGCTCCTCAAACGTAACTAATTGAATGGTGTTATTCAACAGGGTTTGTGTTGTGCCTGTTTGAAGTAAAGAAAGGTTTGTTTGGGTTTACAAAATGAACAGTCTATTTTTGGGCCGTCCATAAGTCTGGTGACGCTAAAAATAGTCAAAATTGATGTGATAATGTAGACACCCCAAAAAGGTCATGCGACGAATACGAAACTTCCCTACCCCCTAAAAATATTTTTTTCGATTATTTTTTGTAATAATCTGATTAAAAGAAGATCTAATAAAAATTTCATTCGATTTAGTTTGTCCCGTGACGTTTTAAAAAACCCTCCCCCCTCGAGAGTTACAGTCCTTCAAACCCTCTCTCCCCCTTCCCAGCGTCACGAGATTTATGGACGGCCCCTTCTGTGGTAACGTGCGACGGAACCTGATTTTTCGGTTTCGGCCGGAACCAAGAACAAAATAAATTCTTGGCTGAGGACAAGACCAAGATATGACAAAGTATAAAAAGAATCGTAAAAGTATACAAATTTTTTTAAAAACCTTTAAACACTAACTTAAATTTGTCAATGACAATTATAAAATAATAATGTTATTGTCTATAGGCAATGCGAGGTCCACCCCTTTTACAAATATTGCTCTGCTTGACAGATTTAATGCATGTAAAGTTCACATTGTGAACTCAAAAAACATTTAAAATTACTCACCTATTTAAATATGTGCGTAGCAAAAAGGTAATGGTAACACGGTGCTGTTCTGAGATGTGATTTTTGGACTTTCTGTGAAACCTAATTTTTTTTTTATATTCTTGTTAATTAGGTCATAACTAAAATTTTAAGAGCAAAATAAAAAAAATTTGACGGTTAATTTTGTTTTAATTGGATGTTTATTAAAAATATGTATGCACACTTTCAATTTTCCAATTAAAATTTGCGATTTTATTTAAATATTATCATAACTTTTTAAATTAGATTAAAGATTAGTTAATTTCCTAAAAAAAGGTCTATACATTTTTTATATCTTTTACTGTTTTCTTGTAATACACGTTTAAAGTTTTAATTTAAGGTTAAATGTATAGTATACATTTATTAAACAATAATTCTAAGGGTGCCACATTTTATTTAGGGTCGATTTATTCATTTTTGATTTATTTAACGAATAATTTCTTTGGATACTAGATATTGCCAAGACATGAAAGTTATCGGCCCGATAAACTTTACTAAAGATGAATAAACCGGTCCTTAGTTAAATTTCATAAATTTCTTCGTAACTTTTACTACAATTTTTAATTTTTGTTTATAAAAAACACTTTAAAAACTAAACAAAAATTATAGAATACGTATACTGAAAATGACGTCAAATAAATTTTTAATAGATCTAAGTTTCATGGCAACCTTTAAGGATATATTAATTAAGGGAACATAAATGTATACGTCAAAGGTTAGATTAAAAGTTTGAACGTTTATTGCAACAAAACAGTAAAATCTATAAAAAAAAATTTAAAAACCTTTTTTTTAGTTATGCAAATATTAAATATTTAAATTAAATCGCTAGTTTTAATTGGATAATTGAAAGAGTGCATAATATTTTTAATAAACAGCCAATTAAAACAATTCCAACCGTCAAATTTTTTTTATTTTGCTCTTAAAATTTTAGTTATGACCTAATTACCTAACAATTGTTAGGTAATTAGGTCATAACTAAAATTTTAAGAATATAAAAAAAAATTAGGTTTCACAGAAAGTCCAAAAATCACCTCTCAGAACAGCACCGTGGTAACTGAGCTCGTTCTCGTTTTAAATTCCCGAGATCTCGGCCAGATTTTTGGCCGAGAATAGCCGAGTCCCAGATCTCGGTCGGGCCTTTCAGGTTGGCCATGGAGGCTCCATGCTGGTTTTGACAGTTGTTAAATTTAACAGTTTTGCCAGTTGTTTATAATAGTACTTTAATACAAAATAAAATACATTTTTTGGTATTTTCATTTTATTTTCATAGTCAAAATATAATTATAATTATAACCCTTATGTATGATAAGCAAAGTTTTTTGGACACACTATAATATGTTAAATACAATGCAAAAAATCAAATGAAAAATAAATAAAAATTAAAAACAACAGAAAAGCAATTATAAAACTCTTGTTATAGGCTGCACATTTACCGAAAATCACAAAAAAAATAACAAAATGTTATACAGGATGTTCAAAAACTTTTTTATTGAAAAGTTTTTTGACACCCTGTATAAAAAACAATTAAAACTGCTTATAAAGCAAATCGACTAAAATTAAAGATATTCAGTCACAGTCTTTTTACAAGTATATTAATACAAAAAAATTTAATTAAAACACATTATAACACATATTTACAATATTATACAAAAAAACAACATATTCAATAGGGTTTTTAAAAAACCTATATCTAACATAAACATTCCTTAGATTATGCCTAATTTAAAAAAATACCTCTTTTTAATATGCTTTTTTTAGGTCTAGAAACTAAACCATTGATAATTTATCAAAAAGCATCAAAGCATCAAATAGCAATTTTTAGTAGTTTAAATTTCCTACAAAATTGTTTCTAATAACTTTAACTGTAGTTATATATATACGTACTCTTTAAATTTAATTTTTATGATTTTTTAATTATGTATAACAACTAACCTAATTATGGAAAAATTAAGACTGTAGAATAACAGTAAATATAATATTTTTCTTTATAAATATTTTCCTTTATTTTAAAAAGAATTTTTGAAAATAAGTTTATTATAACATTTCCTACATAAAGCATATTTGAGATTGTTTTCTAAAAGGTATGCATAGATGCATATAACTATTGATGGTACAATAAATTTGTTTGGAGAAATGTTGTAGCCTACAACTTGTAGGGAATTAAATGTACTACAAAATTGCTTCTTAACTTTTTGATTTATCAATAGTTTAGTTTCTAGATCTTGAAAACTAAACTTTTAATAAGGCGTAATCTAGGAAATTTTTATTGTTTTTTTTTGTTGTCTACAACTGCCGTGTACTGATTTTTTATGAATATGTTCATTTGAAAAAATTATGACAAATTTGATCTAAATTTAGTTGATAATAAAATTAAATTCAAAGAAAATTTGTCATTTATATCCTAAGATAGTTAATATAAACATTATATTACATTTACGAAAATTGGCTTTTGTGAATGAATTAAAAACTTTCATTGTGTTTCATACATAAAAAAATATGCAATACACTAATTATATTTAGTAAAACGTTATATACAGGGCGATCTGTCCGATATAAACCCAATAGTTGGATTTTCTTGCACACCCCATATTATTATATTACATAATACAGTACCGCATGATCTTTCAACATTTTTTTATATCTCTAATCTGTTTCCCTATCTTTTATGTACAATCTTTACATCAAAATATCTCTCCTTAGTTTTTGTATACGTTCTTTTTTACTAGTGATACCGAATTTCTAAAATGTATAAAATTCATACTTTTTTTTACCTAAAAATTGGTTTAAAGACACTGGTGACCACAAATTTGCTAATTTAAAAAAAATTGTATTTTAATTGCCTTTAGACTGTCTTAACTGTCCTAAAACCGTCTAGATTGTCCTTAGACTTTCAAACTGTCTAAATTATCATAAAACCATCTGGATTGACCTTCGACTACTGTCTAAATTGTACTAAAATTGGGTTTTCATGGTAATTTTTATCAAATTAGCAAAATTTTTGACACTAATGCGTAAAGCAACGTTTATTCACTTCATTCATCTTCAGTATTATTTAGAATAAATTCTAGAAACACTTAAGTGGGGGAGGGGAGGCAAACATTTATATTTATAATGTGTATATAATACAAATATTTAAAAATGGTCAATTTTCAATGTAAATTAAAATTTTTCAATTTTATTTTGCATCAAGTCATCTTCATATAAGCTGCTTACATTTTCCGACATCACAGATTTGTTTTCACACCAAAATAACTATAATTCTTTGGTTGTCGAAAAAATTACCATGGTGTCTTGTAGAGAACAATTTGTTAACGGTACACATCAAAAATCGCAGAAATCGGTGTAGATGTAATTTTTATGAAATTTTGTGACATTATTTCAGTAACCATGTCAAATTTCATGAAAATCGCACAGTAAATAAGGGAGGTAACATTGTTATATCAAAGTTAAATTTATGTTATTTAAACTTAAAAGCTCTAAAACTTTGTTGTTTACTGTACGATTTTAATGAAATTTGAAGGGTTTACTAAAATATTAATTTCATAAAATCGAACTATTTTCTTAGGTATAAGTAGTACCCTAAAATCCATTTGGTAATTTTTTCGATATTTGCACTTTTTAAGCAAAATTTGTTCGTTGTTTGAAGTTAAGCTCACATCAATAATAAATCCCCAAAATTAATAATAATAATTAATAATTTAAAACATTTACATTATTTATACAGACGATTAAAAATTTTAAAAAAGCCAACAACAATCTTCATCACATATGATATAAAACCATCAATCTCGCTACTGTTTGCAAACCTCTTCATCAGTTCATAAAACGAGAAAATTAAATAAAGAATTGACTATTTTATTACGTCACATCTTGACTTCTTGTTCCTTTAATGTTACGTGTTAGTGTTAATAATCATCTTTGGTTTATAAATTGTCGAATGTTTCGCAAGAAAATAAGATGTTTTTTCGTAATAATAAAATCTTCTTCGCGCACTTTTTCTTTAAAGAAAAAACACTTATTAATACTCTGTTAGAGTATGCAGGGTGGCCTTTTTTCATCATCTTAAAACCAACACTGCTGCCAACGTGGACAAAATTAAAACTAGAGCTGGTACGAAAATCACTGCTGCGCTAAGCTCGTCGTATTCTGCACATGTACCTAAAAAAAGTTGATAAAATTAAAAATTAATATTGTTAAATTAAAATTTAAAAGACTAAACCGTTTCAAACTGTACTAAAATCCACATAATTTCCTTACTACAGATTTAACTCTCTCTTGTCAAGCAGCAGGTGTTTTATACATTTTTGTACATTTTTCTTCCTTTGAGGATGATGAACCGAATCCAAAATTTTTGAGGCCGACAAATTGGAACAGAATCTTATAGATTGCCAGTAACTTTAATTATAATTATTTAATAATAATCTACAGGGTGTCCCAGAAGTCGCCCCCACCTTGAAGGTGTATGATCTACAGACCCCTAGGAATCCCAGAAATTTTTTATAATAATTCTACCTTGTCTACCTAAATTGACAACTTTTGATTTGGCGGATTTTTTTCTACCCCACTAAAAAAAAGGTTCACAAAACTTTTTAAAATCAAAAAAGTTACTAATTTTTTTTTAAAAATCTCTTTTTTACATACCTACAAATAACTTTTTAAATAATTTACTAAATGGGACGTCAATGTCAAATTCTATGAAATTTTTCAGTTTTTTGAGGAAAACACATTTTTCAAAGTTCGCCATTTTTAATTTTGTTCCAAATATATCAGTTACTTTATACAAGACTTTTTTGCTTTCCGAAAATTATGCAATTTGGACAAAAATCTGCTCCTCTTTTCTCGTTGAAATAATAATAACAATATATGTATGTATTTTATTAATTAATAAATTACACGAAAACTCAATAGTGTATATAAGTTAAAAAAAAGTCCTTTACCATGTAAGGAATAAAAAGCATTTCCTGGAGCAGTTTTTTGACTTGCTTGTATGTATAATATTGTATTTAGCGCACCAATATATTATAGGCATGCATTTGTCAACAATTAATTATCAAAACAATTAATTGGTTAATTGTAAGAAGATTATATAATTAATTATATAATCTTCTTAGTTAATTGATTGTTATCTGTTGACATCACACCATAGACAAGCATAAGTTTTTTTGCTATCAAAACTTTTCATTTTTGGACCACTCTATTAGGCCTAATATACAATGATTGACAGATAAAATTAAACTGAGAATTGTAATATGTTGTGTTTGGAGAATGTTTAAAAATGTAATGTAAATGAAATGTTAATATTTGTTTAGTTTTTCTATAAAGATTTAATCTATGGTTATATTAGTTTCTGATAGGGACTTCCTGTATTTGCTTTTGTCAAGTCTGACGTAAAATATATATCCTATAACGGTTAGAGTCTAACCAAAAGTAACGAATTTGACATTTTTTAATATTTCTGTTAGCTGTCATGATTTAGAAACTACCACTTTATAAGTATGCAATGTTCTCATTAAAAAATATGTATACATATTATATATATACATATTATATATATATATATATATATATATATATATATATATATATATATATATATATATATATATATAGATTTGTTTGACCGCACATACAGACCCAAATCGTCATACTTCGCCGCCTATACAGACCAAAATTGACGTTTTCAGACCCGGCTTCGGGACTGAAAAAGTTAATCATAGTATGGAAATCAGGGGGGTTGGTGGGTGCAGGGGGTAAATTTTTAGGTGGGCTTGAAAAGGCGGTGAAACATGATGAAATATACAGATTTAGTTCACGGTTCAGCCAGTTCGAGGGCGCCTCGGTCGGGCTCAGCTAGCTGTATATATTTGGCATAGTTAAACTACGTCTTCAAACCCTAAATTTGGCAACGACGTTTGGCATATAAATATTGAATATGTATTTCACAGCTCTGATACAGTCCCGATATACTCTTTACCATTTGGTCCAAAATCACACTTTCCCTCCTGAACGGAGATAAGTAAGCTTCAGCTATCTAGATAGTAAAAAAAAAGTAAAATCTACTTTATCAAATTTTGAGGGTTATACTTTTAAATATTCGTCAGTAAAATTGAAATGTTAAATATTTAACACAATATATTATTTTTTTAGTATACATTTTTGGTAAATATTACTGTAAAAATATTAGTAGATCGTAATTTTTAATATGGTTGTATGGATGTGATTTACGTATAGTAATATTTATTGTATTATACAAAATATAAATATTAAGATAATAAAAAGATTTGCGAAATATCTCAAGATTATAAAGAACCTTACACTGTCTGTGGAACATGTAGTTGATAATTTTAATGGTAGGTAAGTATTTTTAATATCAATGTTCATTTCCGTTTATTTATTTATTATGATTATTATCATTACTAGCATTATTATCGTTATTATCATTACTATTATTATTATCATTAGCTTTCTTATTGTTGAATTATAATCAATACATATTGCCAAATTTGATTAATTGAATATTTACATGTGTTTTTATTATTAAATTTAACTAGCAGCGTATAAAGTAAATCACCCTGTATAATAATTAAAATTAAATAAAAAATTATTTGCTTTAGATATAACCTACAGCATACCAAATTTTAAACTTGTATTTTAAAATTTATATTTTTTTAATATTGTACGGTTACTGTATAATTTTAATACCCTGTATCTCAGAACTACTAAATAAAAATACTAAAATACTACAATTTGAATGCTGATTAGTGAAAATGAAATTTTTTTGATATTTTCCAAATTAAATTAACCAAAAAGTTTCCACCCCGGTTTTCTTCTTTACTTTAAATTAAAAATGAGTGATTTTAAAGGCATTTTAAATCTCTACATTTTGGCGTATTAGTTTTTAAAATCGGTTAGTTTGTTCCTGAGATATTTAAGACAAAAATAAATTAAAAAAGAAAAATTTTCTGTAATATCTTGAAAAAAACAAACCGATTAAAAACTATTACGTCAAAATAAAGGGATTTAAAATGCCCTTAAAATTATACAATACTCGTATTTTAAAATGGGTTGGTACGTTATTTGAGAAAAACTTAATTTTTTAATTTATTAATTATTAGGGATGAGATTTTAGTTATTTTACCTTTTTTAACCGATGTAACTATTTGAAAACCAATAATGCCAAAATGTGTTTTAAAAGATTTTCTTTTATATGAACCTAACTTGTTTTCACCTTTTTTACCTTTTTTGGAGGTTTTTGCTTTTAACTACCTTTTTTATACTTTTGTTACCTATTTTTTAAACTTTTTTTCACATTTTTTACCTTTTTTTGAGGTTTTTGCTTTAAACTACCTTTTTATACTTTTGTTACATATTTTTTAATTTGTCAGTTTATTTTCACATATTTGTTACCTATTTTTACGTATTTTTACTTATTTTATTTTTTTTGTTCTTTTTAAATTTTGCGCCAATATTTTATCCAGGGCGTGCAACTAAACGGTATAGAATTTTTTCTTATGGTTACAGACTGTAACAGTAACTTTCTTTACAGTTACCTTCTTTGTAGTTACTCACTACTAGTGAGCTTATGTTCTGTCATAGAACTTCTGTGTAGTGAGTGTCACTCAGTAAAACACAGTTTATTGCATAGAAATAGTTTATTGTGTTTGGGTATGCGGCTAAACAAAATTATAAACGAAACTTAAACTTTTAATGATTTTTTTTACCTAAAATGCTGTTTTTTAACCTAAAATGCTTTTTTTTTAGTACCTTTTTAGTTACCTATTTTTCAGTTTTTAGTACCTAAATATCCCATCCCTATTAATTATACACCATTATATATTCACAAGAATCATTTTATAAAATTACGTACTTTTAAACCACACTTAATTAAAGTAATAATTTGTGCAAACCAACCGATTTTAAAAACTAATACGCCAAAATTTTAAGGGAAGAAGAAAAAATAATTTGATGAAGTACGCAAAATAAATAAAGTTAAATTTTTTAAAGAAAATACTTAAATTTTTTTTGCTGTCGAAACTATATTCGTCTACAGGATTTTCTGCGTTTCTTTGGATGGGGATCAGGGGCGTAGCTTCCGCGGTATCAGCCGTATCAATGATACGGGGCCCCCGGATAGGGGGGGGGGCAATTGGCTTCGACATGCGTAAGCAAAAAATATATTACCCACATATAAAAAAAATTGAGGCATCAAATTAAATAAATAAATAATATTTTTATTAAATTGTTTATTCTTCGATTTATTAAATTAAAATTTTCCTGAATACCCTCCTGTTCCAACGAGGCCGTTAACTCATACAAAATGTTTCTGCCCGCACTTTTCCGCTATGCGTTGTCTACGGCGCAGGGTGTTATTATCATAGGTTAAATTAATAGCAAATTAGAAATAATTATTAGCGTTACAATTGTTTCAAATGACTTTCCTTTATATTAAAATAGAAACCTTTTAAAAGATGTTGAAGAACGGTAAATGTCTAAAACCAGATAAAATTTTATGTCTCCCAAGTAAAAATGATTATTTTTTATTTTTGGTTGTTTCACTGTTAGTCTAGAATGGGGTTTTTGGGAAGCCACCAGGTCTAGTAATAACATAACATAAGTGGTTCTGCACTAATGCAAGAATTTTAAGAAATCATACATTTTGAATATGAGAGCTTCACGGAAGATATCTTTACGGATGTTAGGATTTCGTATGTTTTTTTTAACCTTTGTATATTTAAAATAAGTTATTGTATCTTTTGACACCTTAATATTTTTTTAAAATACAATTGTACATACATAAAATATTTATAAAAAAATCTACTTAACACCTACATAAATGGTTATAAAAATTATTTCTTTTAATTTTAAATGATATTTTATATTCGATTCGATTGCTTTGGATGTGTTTAATTTACTTGGTGAACTGATATTTTTAGTATGCTTTTACTACCTCAGATATTTGAAAACATATAGGTTAACCTATAAAGAGTAACAGTCACGGAGGATATGTTTTAGACTTTTAAAACATTGTAAAAAATAATTAATTGCGGTTAAAAATCTGGAACCTGATCTGTAATATCTACTTAATTATGAAAGATCAAAACACAATAAAAGTGTAGGTCAAACTCATCGGGGGACATTTTGTGAGATTTACCCACATAAATTATTTATTGAATTATAAAAATTGGTAAATGCAAAAAAATGATACCCTAAAAATTTTTTGGCCAGTACCTTTTCCGGTATAAGGGCCCCTACCAGATTTTTGATACGAGGCCCCCTTGAGGGCCTCGTATCAAAATAATAGTAAATAAAAAAACTAACCTAACCAAACATGCCTCCTTAACTGTATTTTGATTTTTCTCTAGTATTGCCATTTGAGCAATTAATTTGCTTCCTGCCGATATTTTCACACCACACAAACAATTACCCTATTTACAGGCAATGAGGAGAATCCCGGATAAGTATATTATTTTTACGTACTTTCGACCTACGCCACGAGTCCCTACCATTTGGCAACATCGCTGGGTCTCGGGACGTTGGTTGAATATGGTTATGCAGTATAAACGGGCGCGAAAAGTCGGTAAAATGATGCGGGTTTAAAAAGTGTTATTCAGTTTGCAACTTTTTTTGTAAAAAGAAAATGTTTCCCCTTGAAGCATGCTTATTGAGTTATATTCTTTAAAAGCTTATTTACGGTTTATATACTCGCCTAAATTACCTGGATCAAGTGGGTCTTAGGTAGCCTGTATAGTGTACCGGGACTGAAAACGTGGACCGGATAGATATATATATATATATAAAATATGTATACATATTATATATAGATATATCTCCTGTATCTTTTTAAATAACAAAGGTAGATTTTTTTAAATAATTTTCTGGGATTCCTGTATATCATAAATAATTAAAAAATAAAAATCACAAAAATATTTTTACGTATTTAAACGTATACTTTATGGACGACCCCCTTATAAACTTCCTTAGAAACTAATTTACTAAACACTCACTTCCACGTGGGTCGAGCTAACACTGTAGGATAGCCCCTAGTGTTCGTAAATAATTTCTTCGCCGGACAAAGAAAAAAAACACCCACTCGCTCTTGCCCAATTAAAATGTGCGACATTTATAAAAATTGTTGCATACCAAATTTATATCATTTATCTTTTATTTGTACTTTAAAAGATATCGACTGCTGAAATTGTGAAAAAAATGGTATTTCCTGTTTTTTTTATTTCGAAACATTTTAACACTTACCATTGCTAGTGAAGTTGTAAGCTTGACTACCCGTCACTCCAGGTATGATGTGTCTGTGACAGCTGTCAGTGGCGCTAGATAGCCTCAAAACGGGCGGCCCTACTCTCCCCAGGGTGCCCTCGATTACGTCACTTTGAGGTTGGCTTGTGATTTGATATATGAAGCAGTAGCGCAGCGCGTCCATGGATTTTCTTTGGGTGGGCGTTGCTATGATGTAGCTAAGCCCGTTTTCTTCCCAGTGTCCGTGACATTGAAATGCTAAAAATTTAAAATGAGGTTAAGTATATATTATATTGCTTTTTTAAAAGCAACAATTTGCATTATTTACGTCTTCTGTTTAAAAACTATTGATCTTTTACATTTTTTGTTAAAACAAATAACAAAATAATGCAAATTGTTGAAAACAATCAGAAATGTTTAAAAAATGCCCTAAACCATCTTAAAATTAAACTATACCATCTAAAATACAAGCGTCTACGGACAGCCGGGAACATTTTGCCCCCGAAAAATCGAACGCAGCTTCCAGTAAAAAATCTATAATGGACTTGACAGCTTTTATATTATACAGTGTATCCCATAACCAATGGTTCGCAGCAAAATCACAGATTCCTTATGTAAAAATATTACGATTAACCAAATTCACCAGGTTCAAAAGTTAATAGTCTGTAGCATAACCAAAACTTTAGTAGATAAAATTAAATATTTGGATGTCTTTTTTGTCGATTTCACCGTATCGAATTTGGATTAAAAACGTATAACCAGAGTGGTGTATAGTTCAGTGCTGGCAGAATTTATAGTTGAAAGTAATTAATAAGTATTTGCAAATACCTATTTTGCAGGGCCTGTTTTGTCTAGGAGAGTTATTGTCAACATGTTTTGCCGTATTCAAGTATTTCAAGTTTTCCTACAATTATTTATGTAGATTGTAGAGGGAGTTATAACTACAAAATAACAATTTGTCTTTAAAACTAACGAATTTATAAATCCGAGAAAAAAATAGAATACCTTCTTTACCTTCTTTAATGAATAATTATTTGAATGCCAGAAGATTTAGCTGCATGTTGTCATTGTCTGCTAATTGTTGGTAAAATACAATATACCTACTTTAAATTAGGGCATTTTTTGGCTCAAATTGATTGACTATGGCGTTTTTAATGGTTTTAAAATTGTGTAATTCTACGGCAATATATGCATATTTTGAAAATTAAAAGGTTTATAGGTCAAAGTTCAGTGGCTGAGTTCTATTTCGCGGCCACTAGGTACTAACTATAGTTACTAAATACACTAGAAGTACACTTACATGTTATAGAATGTCTTTTGCACGTATTTTTGAACTCCATCTCGCTTGAGCCGCTGCATCCGACTGACAAAGCCTGGTAGTCGTCATTTTGACATTCTTCTTCTTCTGGCTGCGTTAATACGTTCAAATCTTCGTTGGGTTTTTCGCGTTTCTTGCGTTTTTCTTCCGCCGAATTTAACGAATGTTGAATGCTGTATTTACCCAGATGCGGACATTTTTTGGAGTGCAGATTTGTTGCTGAAAATGAATGGGTAAGATCTGCGTGCAAGTTTTTTTCTGTGTTTTTGACTTACTTATCAATGTTGTGAAAGTTGAAGTGGATGGGTCGAATTGATTGCAAGCATCTTCATTTTCCACCATGTTATCAGATTGTTGGATTTCAATGACATTTGAGTCCCTCTTGTAAAAAACCATGCATACATAGCCACTGTCACTAAAATTTAAAAATAAAAATGTTTTCTAAGATTTTTCTTCTTAAAATGTAAAACTGTAATAGTCAAAAAAACTGTCTAAAAGGCCATTCAATTTTCTGGAAACAGTCCATAAGATTGTAGAAGAATTGTATTAAACATTACCCTGGTTAAAATGTCACATGGAGACCCTGTTTAAACCATTGGTTTTTTGTATCCGTGTTTCTATAGGTGTATCGGTATAAATAGGACCCATAGTTGGGATTTATCATAAATCATTTATGGTTGTTTTATAGGGATATCCTTCCTGGATTTTTTTGCTTTCGTTTTCAATAGGAAAAATACACATAAATGTAGAAACTACTATTTCTCCCATTGGACCCCAGAGGATTTAACAAAATTTTGTAAAATGTTTTATGGTTGCTCTATAGGGATATACCTATACATCCCTCCTTGAGTTATTTGCTATCGGTCTCAATAGGGGAAATGTAGAAGTTATGGTGTACCTATAGGTAATTTCCTATAAATTTTCTATCGTTAGCACCCGATAAATTATTTGCATGGGTCTCTATGGGGTATTTTAAGCAGGGTATAGAACTGTCTAAAATGTTATAGAAACTGCCGTAATTGTCAGAAACTTTCAAAACTGACTGGAAACTGTCTAAAAACTGTTATAAAATCAATAGAATTACCTAAAATCGCATATTTTTGTTTTTGTAATGTTATAAAACTGACTTAAAAGTCTAAATAGGTCTTGAAACAGTCAAAATTGCCTATAGAACTATCATGGAGTTATATTATTATTCAGAACTGTATAATAAGTTATAGAACAGTTCTAAAACTTCCTGAAATGCTCTAAAACTGTCTAAAAACAGACTAAATAGTAAAAAAAAATATTATGGAATAAGCTAAACTTGGTCAAAAAATTTCCTAGAAAACTATCCTAAGTTGTATTCAAAGTTTTTAATTTAAAACATTCAAAACTGTCTAAAATATTCTAGAAACTGTTATAGAATTGATGTCAGAATTACCTAAACATGTAAAATGTTGTAAAACTGTCTATAGACTGTTTATAAACATTTTATAGAATCATTAAAACTGTTTAAGAAATTTCAAAAACAGTCTAAAACTCATAGTATTGTATTAAAACTTTCAGAACTGTCTTAAATAGAAAGTCAGTATTATCCAATAAACTGTGTAAAAATTGTTTGGTAAAATACAACTTACCATCCTGAGGTGACATGGGCGACTATCTGAACCTTTTTATGCTCCTGCGCTTGCAAAATGCTGTGACAAACAACCCTCATCTCGGTGTTCCTTCTTTGATCCTGGGACTCGAACCCAAACTGTTGAAACGCGTAGGCCGCCTGGTTCGCCAGATTTATTTGCGGTATTTTCTTCGGCTTCGGGGGATCCTCGTCCAAAATCTTTAAAGTTGCATTTCTTTGCGAGAACTTGTACGTTTTTCTGTGGTCCAAACTCAACCACGTGTGGTGATCGGTTATCCATTCGGGGAACTTGCAACGGTTGTGATGGTTGTCAACTATAAAAAATAAATACATTTTAGTCATAGTGTACATTAAACTCTCCAAATGCCCTAAAATTGTCTTGAATTAATCAGAAAAGAAGTGCAAGAGCCAGGTACATCCAGAACAATACAATTTTGCAGGAGGTAAGAACAACGCTCTTATAAATTAAACTAATGGTTTGAACAAAATTTCACTCGGCATAGAGTTTGAATATTGTAGCCAGAAGAGAATATAAAATTTTAAAAATATTAATTTATTAAAGGCGACTTTCTGACCTACTTTGAAATTTCATTATTTGGAGATACACTGGACCCCGAAATTATAAACATTTACCTGTTGTTAGCTTCATTATTCTGCTGCCTTCAAAAGCATTGGAGACCCCTGTACAGCTAGCATCCCCTGACTGAGCTATATTATAGACAACTTTTCCATTTTCTACACTTCTTTGATATATAAAACATCTGTATTGATCTTCATCAGAAGTTAAACTTCTTCTTCCACCTTGTGCCATTTTTCCTATGAGATATCTGGTCGAGCCTTCTTTCCATGTTGCGAGGCATATTAGTTCTTCGACTGTAACGAGGTTAATATGGGGTTATAAGAATGTGGTTAGGATGGTTTTAAAGAAAATTAAATTGTCTATACTTTGTTTTTTTCTAAATTTTTGTTGGATCAAGTTTATAGGTATTTGTTGTTAAAGTTTGGTACTCTGGAGGCTTTAGGGTTATGTAAATTTTGAAATTTTTATGATGGAATGTTTTTGTTAAAACAATATTATATTATATTTTTTTTTACTTTAATTTCACATATAATTGTTTAGTAATTGTGGAAAATACCGCCAAAAATGGTGTTTTTACACTCGATAAATTTCAAATGTAAATATCTCAAAAAGTATTAATGCTACAAAATTTGTACTTAATACAAAGTTATAGATAATTTTAAGCTTTACAACATTTTTTTATAATTTTTTTCTCAAAAATCAAAAATTAAAAAAACTCATTTTTCTTTTACCATTGCTCTCTGAAGACGGTATATCTGGACACGCTTGGTATTTGAACACCATTCGTGAATCATCGGTACAACTTTCGGCTTTACTCGGTGGATTACTGCATTCCCCTGCCCCCCTGTTATAAATAAACGTAAAGGGGGCACTTTTAAATGGACAGGGTATAGGTTTAGTCTCTGGGTATTTTCTAAACATGCTAAAAAGTTGCGCGTCACCAGAAATTCCGTTACACATGTCGGTTATGGATGATTTTTTGTCACAGTATGCTAAAAAAATACAGGTTATTAAAAATTGTTTATATGTAACTAATTGGGTGTTCTCATCATATACAATGGATAGGCTGGATGGGTGGGGGGTTTGCATTTACAACAATTTCATTTCATAATTTATTCATTAATTAATTGTTAAATTCACTTCGTAATAATTATTTGAAATTCCTTCAAATTTTAAAATTCCTGCTTTCGCGGTCAAGCAGTTATCTGCCGTACTTTGGTAGAACATAGTAACTAAAGTTACTAGGTTTTAAAAAATTACTGTATTTTTGGATTTAGCGTTCAAATTTACCTCTAGTAGGTAACTATTTTTTATCTCTTTTTATATTACGGTGGCTGTAAAATGTCTATCTCTATTTTTAGTAACTTGTAAAAACTGTTAGGTATCCCAAAGCAAAATATGGCAAATAAAGTTACTATCAACAATGTTCCATTTTTTTTTAAATTTCACCCAGTAAAAGCTAGTAACTCAAGTTGCTAGGTTTAACGCAAAGTATTTCCTAATGGTAATAATAAAGCTGCTACTGTTGGCGGGAGTATTTTAAAGTTATTAAATAATTAATATTAAGCTTTATGTATATATTTTAGCATTGATTAAAATCTGGCAACTTGAATGTTGATGTTTTAATAAGTTAATTTGTGCATATTTTAATCAACATAGAACTTTTTATACTATTTGCTGAAATATGATTTACGAAATTTGCACACTTCCGAATAAATAAATAAAAATCTGTTTTTAATAAATCGGACTTTACCAGACTATTTTTACGTTTGGAATAGTGTGTGTAACTTGTAATAACGGTGTTTTATTATTAAGAAAGTTCAAAATATGTCCAGAAGAACAAATTTGAAGTTAAGCTACCAGTGGCACCGTATTTGGAACCATTGGGGCTAAAAACTAAATAGAAAGGAACAATGTTAAAGAATTTGTCCCATATTTAGAGATTAAAGAAAAAAATTGTTCTAGATTTACTAACCATAATATCTAAATGTTCAATTTTATTTAATATAATATGGATTTTTTTTAATTGCATTTTCGCTAAATAAAATGAAAAAAAACTAAATAATTATTTACAACTTTAAATTTTACTCAATCATATTAAAATATTTAAAAAATACAGTAACTAGCAATTGATATGGCCAGCTTTTGCATAATTACTTATTTTTTTTTTTAACTTTTTCGAATTCCTCGTTAAAAATTATGTAGGAATTGATCATTATATATTTTAAATATTTTGTTGCAAAGAAAGGCTATGCAATTTTAGAAAATACAGTGTCCTGAAAAGTTACAAAATCATAGTTACTATAGTAAAACCTATAGGTTTTGCCAAAGTACGTTGTACGTTTTAGCACACGCTAGAACAGGGCCTGCTTTAGACCATTTGGCGCCTTGTGCAATTATTGTTGCGCCCCATGTGAACCTTTATCGCATATTGGTATCTTTAAGATACTATCTTAACCCTTCATAGGTAACAAAGGGTCAAGAAAAGGACACAAGTGTTTTTTTGTGCCGTATATTTTAAAAACAGGTAGGTACCATTTTTCACCCCTACGTAGGTAGGTACTGTAACAAGTAATACAAGTAATAAACGGCAAAATATAATTTTTATTGTTTTCAACAATTAAACTGAACTTTTATCTTTTATTACATAATATTATAGATACGGGGGTTTAGCTTAGCAGAGCAGAGTACCTGAGGGTGAAAAATTGTACACGCTCGGCGCCATGTGCCGGTGCACATGTTTCACACCCCTAAATATCAAAAGTAAAATTGCTGGCTTTTAGTAGTTTTTGTGTAAATTGACCTTAAAATGCAATTTTTGACAACTTTTTGTTGTTGCCAGATGTAAAATATTTACGCTCTTTAGGAAAATTTTGATATGCAACCCAATAAATTAATTAGTTTAAAAATTATACAGAGTAACTCAAAGCTATTTATTATTTCTCATTGGATATTTGAATTTATTTAAAAATTATGTGCAGTTCGTATGCTTTAAATGTTTTGTTGACAAACCTTGTAGTTTATTAATGCTATCGAGAGCCACCAGATAGCGCGCGCGTCCCTAAAACCCGATGCTTCTTTAGCGTATACCTTTATAATATCTTTTTTTATATCGTTAAAACTTTTTTTATTAGCTATACATTTGGTTTATTTTGTTGTTTTATAAAATAATGGAATTTTTTGATGAGTTTATATTATTGGATATGTTATTTGTTTGTTAGTTTAATTTTATTTTGTTCTGAGAAAAGTTTATTTATTTATACTTTTCGTATTTTGATTTTAATGGATATAGTCCTAACAGAAGTTAGGTTACCACACAGTGGCGGACTAAACACCTCGGAGGCCCCGGGCGGTAACATAAAATGGGGACCCCTAGACTACTTATAAAATGCTTATTTTGTAAATATGAATGTTTTTTACTATTTTAAATTAGTTAGTCTCGCAACGGGGCCCCAAGAATCTTAATCTAATCAGGGACATGAAAATTACAAGTTTTTTTACTATTATTAGAATTTTGAAATAACTTAATTTTTAAAACCATGACATTCCAAGATAAACAATAATGTAATGTAATGATAACATTTTTTGAATTCCTGATGGAAGCCTATTGCAACCGGGGGCTCCCAAGACCAAAATATTAAATATCTTTGGAGGCCCCTTGAGACCAAGAGCCTCGAAAACCAAAATATTTATATCTATGTATACATAATATTTTAGAATTTTCAGGCCGGAACAAATAAAAACAAAAACAACCCTGCTTTGTTTTAAGACGATTTCTTAGAAAAACATGCAAACTCCCAATTAAAGTTAGGAATTACTGGGATCAGATGGATAGTTTTTTATACGTACTCTCTTTATATTGTAGAACACTGCTATGTTTTACATGTATGGCCATACATCTATAACAATCATCGTGTCTGAAAAAGAATAAATAATATAAATACAATAAAATACAATTTAATAGATGTATGTAAAAAAATAACAGAATATTTGATAAAAAGGAAATTGCTTGATTTTTTTAATATTACTCGAAAATATCATTTACGTCAAGATGATGCTTTTGGTAGTTTTCCCTTTTATATATACATTCGTGGACGTCGAATAGGTATATATTTGTCAGATATAAAATTGGTAAACTTTTTTAATTTCCTTTTCAGCTACAATTGAATATAGATTTTATTAAATCTATATTACAAGATGCGCTGAATTGAAATAGCTCTATTTCCTTTAACATTTCTCTATAGGGAGAAAACTGTTTTGGGAATGGTTACGAAAATATTTAAGGATCGCTTTTTTGTTTAGTAATGATTCCCGTACAACTCATACAGGATGTCCAAAAATAACGTTAATATATTTCAAGGGGTGATTCTACACGCAAATATAAAAGAAAAAGTTGCTATAAACAAATATCCGAAAATGCCTCCTGGGGGATTTATAGGTATTTTAAACTGTTTCGCAAAATCAGGTATTTATTACCTAATTATTTTAGAAACGGTTGGCGTTAAAAATTTATTTCTGGAGTAATTTTTGGACAAGAAATCGAATAAATGATGACCATAGGCGTTCTAAACATAGGCTACTCGGGAAAAAAATACTCACAACTTTTTTGTGGGTCTTTGTTGAATTCTTAATCTTGGAATACAATTCTCCAGATAATTTTATGTAAAAAGCTGCTCTTGTTACAAAGTAATGAAGCCAACCGTTTTCTAGAAAAACGCTACAAAAATTCATAAATCCTAGTTATTAAACACAGTAACTGAACTAAAACAATACAATTTTCAAAAATTCTTATTTTAGTAAATGCTCAAAATGACCGCCGTTCTCTTCTACACATTACCTAATTCTAATTCTAATTTTTTCGACGTCATCAACAAGGTTTATTCCTCAACGTTAAGTCAAGTGGATTTAAATCTGGAGAACGAGGACACGAAATTGGTCCTTCGCAGAAAAATTGGGTGGGGCGCCATCATGAATAAAAAATCGACAATATTAAAAGGTATACCCTATAGGGCACGCCATCAAGGAGGTTTATGAAAATGTTTTGGAGAAAATACAAGTATGTTTTACCGTTTAGCCGATTTGGTAAGACGTGAGGACCTATCAAGAAATCGCCAATTATTCCTGCCAAAACGTTAATAGAAAATCTTTGCTGGTGCCTTGATTCAATAACGGCATGTAGATTTTCATCAGCCCATGCATGACTATTATGAACATTAATAATTCCATCCCTAATGAATCCGGCTTGGTCGTTAAAAATATTTTTTTCAATTTGGCATACGTGTGCTGTTTTGCAACTATTACTGTAGGACCTACAGTAATAGTTGCAAAACAGTGTAGGTAGTGATTACAAAACAAACTGAAAAAAAAACATTTCCTACGCATGTAATGATTTTGAAGGGGAACGTAAAAACTAGAAAAGTATGACAGAAAAAACAACAAAAACAAAGAGTACCTACTCTCTAAAAATAAATTAGTCAAAAATGACTAATTTAATAGTTATTAGTGGCTGATTTTTCACTAGTACCATGGTTAACCATGGTATCCCAAAATATAACAACCAATTCTTATGTAAAATTGTCCCCTGAATCCGAATATACCGTCAAAAATTATTAAAGTGGAGCAGTTTTTAAGATATAGTTAATTCCATATTAAATGGAAAATTGACTATATCTAAAAAACTGTTCTACTTTTTTAAACTTTTGGCGGTATTTTCGGATTCAGGGGACAATTTTACGTAATGATTTGCTGTTAAATTTTGGGATACCATGGTATTTCATGGTTAACCATGTTACAAGTGAAAAAGCAGCCACTAATAAGTTATTAGTAATAACTATTAAATTAGTCATTTTTGACTGCATAATTCATTTTTAGAGATTAGGTAAGCATATTTAGTTATAAGGTTAGAATTCGTTTTATTACACGTTCATACAGCAAGAGTTTCATAGAAATAATTATCAAATATTTTAAACTTACCAATAAACATACACAATCAAATATTTAATTAATTTAACAGAATTAAACGATAACCAACAATATTCACAAGATAGGGTAGAAAATACCTCGCAAATGGTATTTATAATGGCATTTATAAAGTATAAATGGCATTATTAAATGCATAGCAAACTACATAGAATGGGAGGGGAGTTGCTTTCAAAAATAGTGACATTTTTTTATTCAGTAAAGTCTTACCTGTCATAAACTAGGTATTTATCACCACTTTCTTCATAGCATTCGCCCTTACTTTCCAAATAGGACCCGTTGATGAGTAAAACATTTGGCATGCCGCTTTGAAACCATCGGCCCTGCATAGGTTTCTTAAAAGTACAGGCTCCTGAAAAAAATTTAAAAAGAATATTAAAATTTAAATTATAGCAAAAAGGACAGTTTGTTAAAATTTTATTAAAAACTGTTAAAAACTGTATGGAATACAGACACTTAATTTTACATTGAATACAAACAAAATCTTTGACTTTAAAGTTATATAACCTAAACCATTCTCTAACAATAAAAATAAACACAATGTTGATAAACCAAAAAAACATAAAAGTTACACCCTATTTTCTAAAAACAAATATACTTCGAAATTTTATTATTATAACTTCAATCCCAACAAACAGGAGCAGATGTTTTTGGGTTCGTATTCATTACAGATAGGATTAAAACGATTTAGCAACGTCGAAATACTAAAATAACACAGATAAAGTTCCGGGAAATTCGTTTTCCACGAAAGTCCGGGAAGGAAAACTAATAGGTCTTGTGTCTGGGTGATTTTTAATTTTTTGCTTAAAGAATTGTCGGATTTAAAAGATTGTTGCAATGATGAATATTAATTTTGATCAAATATTAAATACAACTAAATTTTTAGTAAAAAAATATTAAATTTTATTAGTTTTCATACAACATCTATGATTCAACAAAAGTTTATTTTAATACAGATAAAACTGTAAAATAAACTTTTAAAATCTAAAAATAGTTTTCAGCGTTTTGCCGAGCGGCAAAAACTGAAAGCGGCTTATTTGTTTCAGTTTTTCAGGACATGTGTGTGTGTAATGTTAATCCCCCTTTAAGTGTAGCTGCAGCTTCATGAAAACATTTATACTGAAACGAGTTGTGACTTGTTATTTCCTGCGACAAACGTTCGCCGTCCTGCTACAGCTGAAAAACCGGTTTTCAAGACACCTTTTCAGGATTTTCTGTCTGATTCCTTTTATCTTGTTTAAAGGAATAAATCCTGAAATTCGCGTTTTATTTATTTATAAAATGTTTCCAGAAAGTGTTGAATTTATTGACTTTTCGTCTTTTAAGACGTTTATTTTGTAAATATGTAGTCCTGAAAGCAAGGTTTTTGACACTTTTAATGCTGCATTTAAAACGTGAAACAAAAATCGGAGTTCGAAATATGTTTGGAAATAATTCATGAAAATTGTAAGCGGATTAAAATTTATGTTCATGGGGGGTTGAAGGGGTTGTTCCAGGAACAATGTTCCTGTAACTTTGGAAGCGAAATCGGCTTAAAGATAACCAAACCGTTCTGCTATATGTTTTAAGCGATAATAATCCCTGTTTAAAAAATAAAAATAGAGTTAATAAATCTGTTTCGAAACTTCTGGGTATTTTATTTATTTTTAGAATTCAGACATTTTAGGTGGAGTTTTTTTGGCTTCTTAAATATTATTTTGAACCTTATATTTTTAAAAAAGTTAACTTTAAATTGATTAGTCACCTATTTTGTATTGGCAAAAAATAACTTTTATAAATAAATGTTGAACTAATAAATTTATAGTATACAAATCGTGTTTTTTTGTCGAGATTTTAAAAACCATACTTAGACTTTATACCGATTTGACACACTTCTTCACTAAAAAAAAAACGAAACAGCTAAAATATAAAATGTTGTGGAAAGTTTTAATTTTAATTATATTACGTCCTTGTCTCGTAAAGAGACAAGTACGTAGTATAGGGCCACACAATTTTAAATTTAAGGTGGCAAGGGTGGGCTGAGAATTGGGAAAACATTATATTTATGAATTTTAACATTTATTTAATAGAATCATACCTTCGGGACGAATAACCTACCTTCGCACACCGTAACCAAATTGCAAAAAATCGGCAATAAGTCAAGAAATGCTTTCGAGTTAGCGAATAGCCAATACGATAGAGAAGGCTCCACTTCATCCCGAAAATCAACGGGATGATAAAGCGCGCAACTTGCAGGGTACGCCAATTAAAGATCACCATTCCAGAAGGAATGTACGTTGCATCCTTTATGGTGTAAAAGTCGCCGTGATAAAAGTGTGAATAGCTCAACGTGTAAGTGTATGAGTGGAACAATTCGAAATGGAGGCCAATCCTGAAGGTATGTTAATTATTTTGATAAATTAATATTAATATTAGATGCCTCTTTGATACTTGATAATGCGCTGTAAACCTTCAGGCTTTTTAATTATAAAAGAACTGGGAACCGAGCCTTAAGAAAGGGTGAAATAAAAAACTCCACCCGACTCCAGTCTAATTCAAAGCGAAATGTGTTTCTGCAGAATATCATGATAGTGTTTTTATGAATATATTTCGAAACTAGCTTCCGAAACCTTCCGGACGATATAACCTCCTATCTGTCGCGTTGCGTCAAGAAAATTTTCGTATTCAGTGAATTTAGCCGTACAGTTCAGCCCAGCGCTTGCTAGCACTTCCTTTTTGTTAGCACGTTTATGACAAAATCTGACTAGTCTAGGTTGTAGTTATTAAATAAATATAGAATCAGTGGCGCACCAAGAGCTCCCCCCTCCAAGAATCAAAAAAAAAAAATACGAAAAACCCACATAAACTAACTCACATATGTGAGTGCGCCACTGTAATAATATTATTATTAATAATAATAATATTGTACTTTAATTTTAGACAATTGCCCTCGTCTTAATTTCTACCAATCATAAACGCGCAATTTTGAATTGCAAATGGTTTCTAGGTGGAAAAACTGTATGACAGCACCTGTCAGCAGTTTTTTCGAGTTAACCTGCGGCAAAACTTGACAGATATTGTCACCTTGACATCTGTTGTCAAATACCATTCGGGCATTTAATTTTTCCTGTAACACCATGCTAAGTAATATTTTTTAACAAAATGCATTCGTGCAGGTGCAAAAATCCTCGTCTTCGACTCGGATTTTTGTTGCCACCCATGTTTCTTGTTAAAATACTACTTAGCAACGTGTTTTTTCGATTTTTTTTTCGGAAAAATTAGATGCCCTTATGATATTACTTACGAGAAAACTCTTGTCGAAGTCTCGTGTACTCGGGGAGAAATACTGATGCTTTTAAAGAACGATATAAACTTGGACTTAAATACAATGCTGAGCATTTTGGGGAAAAAATTTAGGAAAAGTATGAAGTAAATTTTGCGATTGATCCAAAAGTAAAGAACAAAATTGGACCAGTGTTGTACAAAATTAAGCAGAAGTTAAAAAAATCGCATCAAACAGTAGAAAATTTCATTAAAACTAATGAAGAGTGGGCTACTGTGAAAACAACGTTTAACGTAAGAACTTTTTAAACTTTTTTTTTACCAAAAACCTGCCAGTAGATTGAGCAGTCGGGTAATTTTTTCTATTTTATTTTTCAGAACGCCTATTACAAAGAACAATCTGAACATGTTCATTCAGCGACTTGAGCGAACGGGCGAAGAGACAAAGGACTAAAGAATTACGTTTTACTGTACCCAACGATGAAATACTGTATACTGCTCAAATTAACTTACGTGCGTCTGGGGCTCCCAAAGTAGCAAAAATTGTGAAGAGGGCATCAATAAACCCTCAACAAGCAGACAAAAATTACGAGGTAATTCTTTCAGCTTCGAAAAAGGCGGTTCCTCTTAAGATGGATGGAGATATAGCACTTTCCACTATGATTGAGGGAAAAATATCGCATAAAATGTATCAAAGTATTCGAAATGTGAAAAATCTACTTCAGAATGATTTTTTTCCACCATGGAACACAGTTGTAGAAGCTAGAAAACGTTGTTACCCACCTGATATCGAGGTAACTGAGACAAAAGCGGAAGTAAAGTTACAATCTATGTTAAATCACACGACCAGTCGCATTTTTGAACTTCAAAAGGAAGTTCTCGAAACATTAGACAAATCTTTAATAAGTCATTTTAAAATATGGATGCGATGGCAGTTCCGGACAAAGCGAGTAGGGTAGAAGCACCGGTTTTGGCCTTTGACCCTGTTTTGGCCACTTTGAATAATATTCAATAAATATTAACAATATATTACACGATATTGTCTAGGGTACAGCTCCCGCCGAAATTTGAAGTAGGTAGTCCTATAGTGTAATAAAAGCCTTTAGGTTGGTATTCCTTAAACAGAAATGGTGGTCCGTTAAAGTTACGAGTGTTGTGTTCGACTGCATTCCTTAGCAGAAACGTTAAGAGAATAGGGTAAGTGTTTCATTGCACAATATCGTATATTTTAATTTAAAGAGTAACTTATAGGCGATTCTAAGTTTTAGAAGGTTGAAAGATTGTTATTAAATTGCGTTTTTATGGTTAAAAAGCATAGTTTATTTTTAAAATTGGGGGGCCAAAAGTAATACCACGAAATTAAAATTTCTTTACTTTTGGCCATGTTTCTGTCCAAAACAGGCGAATTAGTTATGAGTTTTGGCCATGCTGGCCACAAATGAAATTTGAATCATTGCTTTTGGCTACCTGGTTTTAACTGCAGATGTAGGTAGGTTGGAACTTCCAACTTGGAAGGTAAATTTAATATCTATTTTCAGCACTATGGCAAGACAAAAAAGGGAAAAGAAAAAGGAAATGAAAAAGACGAGAACTTTTTTTTTGTATGAACCTGATCAGCTCAAGCAGGCCTTGGAGGCAATTAGGAACGGTATGTCAGCTGCAGAAGCAAGCAAGACTTTTCATGTTCCCAGAACAACGTTAAGGAGAAAAATAAATGGTCTCACACCTGAGTCAACTGGAAGGACTGGTCCGCAAAGTATTCTCGGGGAAGAAGTTGAAGGCCAACTTTCTGAATGGATGCTAAATTGCGCGAAAATGGGTTTTCCGATTACTAAAGAGCAGTTCGCTTGCAAATTTTTGAGAAAGTAGAAGTTGCAGACAAGACAATAGACAAAACCAAAGAAATTAATCTAACTGAAACTAACTGTGATACGTATTTAGATTTTAAAGACGACAAGAAACAAGATGAAAACGAGAGAAAAGACTGTGATAAAACGGCTGTGTTACAAACCGATACTTGTAACGAAAAACATATTACAGTAGGTAACTAAAAAAGAAATTATGGTCTTATCGAATGTGCTGATTTATCCATCAACATCCAATCACAAAAGTGCGAAAAAAACATTCAACAGAACAAGAATGCCAAGTGTTTTGACTTCAGATAAAT